ACAGGTGTACGTACGTGTACCTGTGAGCCTGTGTACAGGTGTGTGTGTACCTGTGAGCTGTGTACAGGTGTACGTACGTGTACCTGTGAGCCTGTATACAGGTGTGTGGGTACCTGTGAACTGTGTACAGGTGTGTGTGTACCTGTGAGTTGTACAGGTGTATATACTTGTGATCCTGTGGAGACATGTGTTTGCGTGTGTGTATGAGATTAGTACTCAGACTGCTGGCTGAGAATGCTGATGTGTTCCGTGTGAACTTGGGCATAGGCTTAGTGAGTCCAGAACTTTCATGGAAGTCTGTGTTCACCTGTGAGCTGAATGTGTTTTTGGGTTCTGGTTTTTCTCATCTGTCTTTGCTTCTGGGTTTCCCAGACGAGGGTGTGTGTGTGCATGCGTGTGCGTGCGTGTGCGCACGGTCACTGAGGGCTCTGACTTTTTCTGGAGTCTATTTTTAGAGTCCTCCTCCTGCCTATTATCTATTTTTAGGGCCCCAGCTCCTTGAAACGGAAAGGACTGCACTCCCAACCACGCTACCTCCCCTTGCCCCATCTCTCACCCTAAACTGGGGATTCCCAAAGGGTTTCCCCCACCTTCTCTCTGGATGTTGAGGGCTTGAGCCCTAGAAGAGAGAATGGGCAGTAGGAGGGATGGTGGTGGACAGGGTGAGGAGAGGGGTGGGGTAGAGGCAAATCTCAGTCTTTGGGCACCTACGGTACCAAGGGGACTGGGTGATTCTTCCCTGGACTGGGGTGCTCAGTTTGGACATAACTCTGCCACTTACTGGGAAGGCTAATTTGTGTCTCTATGCCTCAGTATCTCCATCTGCAAATGGAGATAATTATATCCCCCAGTGTAAGATGGTTGTGAGGATTCAAGTTTCGCTCAGGCCTGACACCCAGTGGGTGGGAGAGCAGCCCAAGGAGTCAGAAGACAGAAGTCTGGAAATGGGGGAAGGCTCCCTGGGCACCCCTGAGCCAGTGGCCAAAATGTCATCCCTCTCATTCCCAGAATCCCCTCTCCATTCACACCATACCTGCGCAGGGCCTGTTCCGTTTTACACAGCAGAACCAGGAGGGCTCATCTGGACCTTGTCTCCCAGCTCACTACAGGCATACACGCTGTGTGCATACACACATACACATACTATACAACACAGACAAGGAGAGGAGAGAACTAGAGGGAATGAGCTTTTCAGACCCCTTTCTCACAGGAAATCAAAACTATTGATTATAATAGTTATCAACACTTTTCTATGTTAATATAGAATAGCATCAACAATTCCACATAACATCGTCTGCATTACAATCAAACAAGGAATGGAATGCCTGACAACACCTACTGCAAGCCATTCCCTGTGGGGACCCATTGATATTTACAGAACATGAACTGCATCACCCACTGTCTCCTGAGGTAGGTGACCTCCCCCTCATCCACTTCATCAGGAAATGAGCTCAGAGAGGTTAAGCAATTCTCCTAAGGTCACACAGCTTTGGTTGCCTCCACATGGAGTGAGAATCACTACCCTCACTCCCCTCCATCTTCAGCAGGCCCCAGCGTATCCTCTAGACTGATCTACATGGTGACCAGACAGAGGGACAGACCAGGAGACCCTGAATGGACAAGAGAAGCTCTGAAAAACCTTCCCAATAAAGAACCAGAGTTACTTAACAACTCCAACTCAGGATTTTCAATAACCTAACTAGCTGTGTGGAGTCCTGGTGTGGCGCTGTGGGCTAATGCGTCAGAGTGCAAAATAATTTGAATTGCAAGGTTGGTGGTCCAAGCTCACCAGCTGCTCCTTGGAAACTCTATACAGGGTCGCTATGAGTTGGAATTGACTTGACAACACTTAACAACAACAACAACTACTATATAACTTGGAGAGATACCCTGGGCAGAGAAAGGTCAACAAAATCCCACCAATTTTACGACATCCCTTTCCCCTCATCCTCTCTGTCCCTGGCCTGCTTCCAGTTCATCACTAACCTCATTCCATTCTTGCAGAGCTGGTGGCCGGCAGCCTGAGCTGCTGGAGTCCAGGAGTAGGAGCCTCAAAAGTGAGGTGGATGCTGAGGTAGCCTGCAGTTGTGGCCTGTCCCACTGGGGCCAGGGAATGCCAAGGAATGTCCACTCTCAGTTGGCCAGGCCTCTTCTCCCCCAGCTCACCTGGCCCCACCCCAATGAATAATGCCAGTTACCTCACCAGTCAAACCTCACTGGGGCTTTGATGAAAGGGGGGATGGTGGCAAGAATGGGTGGGAGGCAAGGAAAAGCTAAAGAGCTAGCCAGTCAGATTTGGGGCAAAGAGATGGTTAAATGGTCACAGGAGGGCTTCATAGCCCGCCCTGTGCCATCCCCTGATCTTCCAGAATCTTCTCTCCAGATCCATCCCTGGCTCTCAGGATTCCCCTCAAAGTCCTGGGGCCAGGGCAGGGCTCCTTCCTTCCCACTCCACCCCAATAACAGTAATAATTAACCCCTGTGAACCCCAGCAAATAAAGATCTGAATCGCAAAAGGGCAGAATCATCGTTGCTCCAGGGTGGGGAGCCTAGGAAGGTGCAGGCAGGCTCATCTCCACTCATGGGTGTCTGAGTGGGTGCAGGGAACCCAGTCTTCTAAGACCTGAGAGGAGGGCACCATCTCTAGGTTCAGGTAAAGTTTGGGTCTGGGATGCTAGTCAGCATCACCACCACCTAATTTTTGTGTGTGATTAAATAGCTGTTGTTGAGTACTGTCCAGTCAAGTGTGACTCATTGCAACCCCAGGTACCGCAGAAGGAACCACGGCCGGAACCAGCACCATCTTCACAATCATTGTTATTGTAGCTGCTACTGTGTCAATCCATCTCCTCGAGGGTCTTCCTCTTTCTCATTGACCCTCTGTGTAGGCCAAGCATGATGTCCTCCATGGTTGAAATCTACAAAACATAAAATGGACCATTTTAACCATTTTTAATTGGAAACTTCAGCAGCGTTAAGTACCTTCACAATGTGTGTAATCATCAGTATTTTTCCCAGAAGTTTTTCATCACCCCAAACAGAAATCGTGTCTCCATTCAGCAGTTACTCTCATCTCCCCCCACCTCCATCCAATCCCTTACAACCTCGATTCTATTTTTTGTCTCTATGAATTTGCCTATTCTAGAATCCTCATATACATGGAATCCTACGCTAGTTGTCCTTTTGTGTCTTATTTCTTTCACTCGACAGCATCTTTTCCAGGTTCCATTAGATGGATGGACCACATTTTGTTTATCCACTTATTTGATGATGGACATGTGAGTTTTCACTTCCTGTGGCTATTGTGAATAAAGCTAGAACGATCACTGATGTACATGTATCTGTTTGAGTTTCTGCTGTTAAGTCTTTGGGGGTAATAGACCTAAGAGAGAGATTGCTAGGTAATATGGCAATTCTATGTTTCACTTTTTTAGCAACTGCCAAATGGTTTTCCATTTCACATCCCCATTAACAATGAACTAGGATTCCAATTTCTTCACCTCCTTGTCAACACTTGTTATTTTCCATTTTTTTGGATGCTATCCATTGTGATGGCTGTTGGTTGTATTTGGGTGCCATTGAATCAGTTCCGACTCACAGTGACACTGGGTTTCTGAGGCTATACCTCTTTATGGAAGCAGAAAGCCTCATCTTTCATCTGTGAAGCGACTGGTAGATTAGAACTACTGACTCTGCAGTTAGCAGCCCAGCGCCTAACCCACTATGCTACTAGCACTCCTTGGCAGCCATTGTAGTGAGGATAAAGTTGTCTAATTAAAACAAAGCAAAACCAAACATTTCATCTCCTCTTGAATCTGTGCCATTTCTTTGTGAGGCCCCAGGAATTAGTGTTATCCTAGGAGTAAGAGCCTGTCTCTCCACCAAGTCTCACTCTCTTCTGTTGCCCTCACTCCAGTCTGTCCACCAGCTGGTGAATATTGAGTACTGACTGGACACAGCACCATGCTGACCATGTCTCTGAGGCTGCATTGCGGAGGGCAGGTTGAAAGTTGTTGGGGGCTCAGGGACATGTAAGAAAAGTGGCAAAGGATCTTGGGCCTCCGGAAGCTCATGGGTAGAAATCTGGATCATATATGCTACTTCCTCTTCCTAGGAACACAGCAGGAAGGCTGTAATTCCAAATATGCCTTTCGGTCAGGTTGGGTGTGCCTGGGTACCAGTCAATGGAGTGTAGATGGAGGTGACCTGTGCTCCTTCCAGATCTGAAGATAACCCAGCTTCCCACAGTCTCTCCCCCTGCCTCCCTCATGGCAACTGTGGTGGCTTTACGTCAGAGATGGAAGTGTCCTAATCCCCAAGTTATCACTTGGAGAAAGGTCACCTGACCCACATTAGAGTATGATATGAGTAAGAAACAAACCCATGCTGTGTTGAGTCACTGAGATGTTGGGCTTGTTTGTTACATCAGCTAGTGTTAGTGAGCCTGACTAATACAGGAAGACAACAGAGACTCGGGGATCACAGTAAATGCTATGAGCAGCAGTGAATGGCAACCAGTGTCTCATCCTAGCTGGGGAATGATCTGAGGTCACAAGACAGTAGGATGCTGAGAGGATCCAATAAATGCTCATTCAAGTTGGTTACATGAACAAAATAGATGAAAATAGCTCTGTAGGATGGGCTGGAGTTACCATAACCTGAAGGATCAGTTGGACTTGGGTGGGGGTTGGAAATAGAAAGAATTACCCTGGGAATAAAGACATAACAGTGAGGAAGGGTTATGCCTATTTAGGGGTCAGAAGTCAGCAAATTGTCAGTTTAGCCCAAGTAGGAGAGTGGCCAGAGAAGACTCTGAAATGTGGACGCTTTCAAAGATCAGGTTGAACAATTTAGCCCTTAGGCTGTAGGCCAGTGCTCTTCAAAGTCACAGGGACATAGCAATCTATTGGGTTCAGGAGGAAAATTGTAGCAATCCATTTTATATTGACCTCGCCCTTGAAATGTCTGTTTTTGAGTTTATGAGTATGAAACCACTAAGGCTCAGAGAGTTTGAGTAACTCTCCCAAGACCACACAGCCAGTAAGTTGGCCTGACCACAAAACCCAGCTCTGCTCTTCACCTGGGCTGAGTCTTGTGCAGATAGGTAAGGGCTTGGGCAGGGGCAGAGGCCTGTATAGAGGAGGGGGGATGGTTGTCTTTGCTGTAGCAGCAGGTTAGTGCTTACTATGGGCAGAGGTCAAGGGACCTGCCTAGGCCTGCTCACGGGGTCCTTCAGGCAGCACCGGGTTACCCAACAAGCAAGTTAAGCATGAACTGACTTGTGTTTATTCTTCTGTAATTAACAAAGTCACATTTTTTCTGTGTTTAGGTATGGCTGGCATCTGTCTCTCTCCCAGTCCCACAGTACTTTCTTACAATACTAGAGATTCATAAGTAAGCCCATGCTTACCTTACTTATTGGGTAATCTGCCCCTGCCTCAAGGCCTGTGGGCAAAGTCAAGCAGAGATTTCAGATGATTACTTCTTACCATGGTGAGCAGGATTCTGGGAGAAGAAAGAGGTAGGACCTTACTGGGAGGTCAGGATGGGATGACCGTGGGGGGTAGGGGTACTGCTCAGGCTTTGTGACAAATCAGATGGCCTGCCACCCCCACCGGCTCAGCTGCCAACGGCCAAGACCAAGGGAACCTAGCTTTCCAAGATTTCATCAGTTTTGCTTCTCTAGGTAACCCAGCGTAGTTCTAGAGGAATAGAATTGTAAAGATGGATTTTCTAAATTAGTTCTCAACTCTGGCTAGTTTTAAAGGCATTAGTGATTCTCTCTCCAGTAGTAAAGAGGGCACTGCTAATCCTTGATGGTGTGAGATGGCACTATTAATATGCAAAATATCGCCACCAAATAGACTAAGCATCGGAGAAAAGTGAGACTCTGGGTGATCGCATGTGTGACACTTTTCTACTATTTTATCAGAGTGACAGGTACAGGGAAGCTGGCTGATTCGTGCTACTTTCATTAGACAAAGTGGTGAAAGAAACAGATAAGCTCAGGGCTTCAGAATTATCATCAAGTATTGTAATGAAATTGTATAAGCATGCAAGAGGAACCAGCATCTAGATCAAGGAACAAAACATCTCCCAGCCCCTAGATGCCCCCTTGTGCCTCTTCCAGTCATTATTACCCTGACAAGTAACCGCCATCTACCTTCTAACACTGTACGTGAGTTTTGCCTTCTTTTGAGCTTTATATAAATGGGATCATAAATATGTAAGCTTTTGTATCTGATTATTTTCTCAACATTTGGTTTGGACTGGATAGTATTCCACAACGTGCGTATATCTAACTTATTTATCTGCTCTACTACTGGTGGACATTTGAGTTCTTCCCAGTTTTTGCCTATTTTGAATATTGCTGTTATGAATATTTTTGTATGTTTCATTGCATGTTTCTTGATATATTCCTAGGCTATGCATGCATTTAGCTATAATGAAGCGTTTTCCATTTTAAAGGAAAATCATCCTTGCTCTTTTTTTTGTTGTTGTTGCTTTAATCAGCCTTATTAATTGTGTGGCACTGTAGGATAAGCACTGGACCACAAGTCGGTTTGAACCACAAGGTTGTTGGTTCAAATCCACCAGTTGCTCTTCGGAAACCCCATACAGGGTCAGGGTTGCTATGAGTTGGAACCAACTCGACAATGGCACTTAACAACAACAACAGTGATTAGGTATTTTCAATTGCTTTGTATGCCCGTAGAAGTATTGATACATTTGAATTACGGTTTTGGAGGAGAATATTAAAAGTACAATGGACTGTCAGAAAAACAAACAAATCTGTTTTGGGCGAAGTGCAGCCAGAATGTTCCTTAGAAGCCAGGATGGGGAGACTTCATCTCTCATACTTTGAATGTTATCAGGATGCCTTTGGTAAAGCAGAAGGTCAACAAAAAATAGGAAGACCCCCCCCC